ATCTTTCTCAAGCTCTTTTCTCCTTCCTCTTTCTCTTCCAACAATTGCCCATTTGCCTTAGGAATGTGGTGTTCCTCTTTCCCTTTTTTCCATTTGGAAAGCATAAAATGTGGCATCATGCATAATGAAAAGCACATGCACTTTGCAGTTAGACCCTTAGTTGGATCTCTCCTTCGTTGGCTGACTAGTTATCTAGTTAGCTGATGAAGACCAGTAATTTGGGCAGGTTACTTTACCTCTCTAACTTGTTTCCTTATCTGTAAAATGAAGAGTATAATCCAGCTTTATAAAGTTAATCAGAAGTCTAAATGAGATGCTTGACATATAGTTGTTGCTCAGTAAGTGCAAATTACTGAGTTACAGCTGGTAAACATGAGATCAGTGTTGGGTTTATACCGTATAAAAGTTAAGAAATAAATTTAAGCATTGTGGTATTCATACCTGGCTTTTGTGTAGCACTTCACATTTCCTACACTTTTACATAGATTATCTCAAGTAATCAGCCACTGACAGTGATTCATAATGCTTAAAAGTTTCCTTTAGAGGGGCTGGCCCGTGGCTCACTTGGGAGAGTGTGGTGCTGATAACACCAAGGCCACAGGTTCAGATCCCTATATAGGGATGGCCGGTTAGCTCATTTGGGAGAGCATGTTGCTGACAATACCAAATCAAGGGTTAAGATCCCCTTACTGGTCATCTTTTTTAAAAAAATTTTTTTTTTCCTTTGGTATTTCTATAATTCACTATCTACTTCAATTACAAATCTGCTTTTTTCACATTTATTTTGATTTTTACAGTGATATTGCAGTAGTATTATTTTTTACTTTTTTTACTACATAAGTTTTCAAAGCACATTGCAGCTACGTGTCAGCCCTAGCTAAGCTGTAGTGGACCTAGTCACTATTTATAAATTAAAGATGGGGAAATGTGTCCAATTCCGAATAAGTATTACTTAATTTTTTTAAGATACTCTTATTATATAAGTTGGAAATTAGTTTTTAAGCTCATTTGACTCCTAAAATATATGCTGATTTGTTGACTTTTTAGTACATTTTCTTTTATGCATGTCAAGCATTTTGCTATCATTGGCTGCCTTTTCACTAAAATCTTTCTCTGTATTGTTACATATATTGTGGAAAAAAACAGTTTACTTTGACTTATTCACTATCTCCTTTTGTTCTAAATTTTTTTTTATTCTGTAGTTATTTATAAACAAGCAGTGACACTAGTGTTTACTAGGAATTGTTTGTTTATGCATCTCAGTCTTATCCTTTAGTGTCCAAAAGTTTGTGAGGCATTTCTAGTGGATAAAGGATTTCCCATCTTTATCTATTCACCATGTGAGCTGTTCTAGTGACAAATGAATTCTGTGCAGTGAATCGAGAAGGACACAGATGTCAAAGCCATGAATTTACAAATGGTCTTTTTTAAGGGGCGTGCTTCTGTCCAATAGGCACTTTGTTAATTTCACCTACAAGAAGGAATAATTACTCAATTATAGCTTCTATCTGACAAAAATCAAATGACAAATGTGTCAGAATGCGAAGGTAAAGGGTTAGTCAGGATTCTGGCAGGTGGCCCAAAATTTTAGCCAGCTATGAGGTAAATACAGAACCAAATTGACCTATAACAGTGATTTCAAATCCTTTATGAATATTCATGGATCTTACTAACTGAAACATAAAAAAATAAGTTCATTTCTAAATCCTAACAAATACAAAAATCATAATTTTCTGTATCTTTGTGAAATATAATTTGTTTGGAAAATACAGAAAAAGTAAAATCATATTCCTCTTTAGTCTGTTTCTTATTACATAGTTTCAAAACTGTTTTATTACTTTCAGTCAGTTAATTAGTTTTCCTTATAAAAAGTTATCTTTATTTCTTAGTGGTATTACTAACCTATTGTATTGCTCTATGTAGAGTCAGAGATCAGAGAACTTTTTCTGTAAAAGGCCAGATAGTATTTTCAGTTTTGTAGGCCATAGGTTCTCTGTCCCAACTCCTCAGCTCTACCACTGTAGCACAGCACAACCATAGACAATATTTAAACAAATGAAGGTGGCAGTGTTTGAATTAAAATTTATTTACAAAAACAGGCAGCAGGCTGGATTTGACCAGGGACATAGTTTGCTGACCCTGATTGTTACTGAGACTAATGGCATTAAAAACTTCCACTAAAATTTTTAAAAAATATTCTAAAGTAGAAGAACTTTATGAACTGTGCTAAGTAAACTTGAATGTCTGTGTACTACACAACTCTGGAGAATAGTTTGGATAAACTACAGGGTGAATGGCACTCCTTAAAGTAGTATCAGTATGGTAGCCCTGATAATAACCCCCCCTCGGCCATTTCTCCCTTATCTGTATCAGGGGTGTTTATATTTAGTCCTCTGCCTGTTTTGTACATAAAGTTTTATTGAAGCAAAACCGTGCTCACTTGTTTACATACTGTCTATGGATGCTTTCACACTAACAGCAGAAAGCAGTAGTTTCAACAAAAACCATACAGCCTGCAAAACCTAACATAGTAACTTTACAGAAAATGTTTGCTGACCCCTGACTACATCCTTATTATGTTCCTCTTTAAGGATGAAATTACAGGGCATAATGTGGGAAAGCATCTGTGATTGTGATATTAAGTCCAACAAAGGATATATCAAGAAGTTAGCGAAATATCTAAAGTTGCTTCAGAATTCTTTTTTTTCTTCATTGTTTTTCATCTTAAGGATCTGGTTCAGGAAAATAAAATACCTTCTTCTGGCTGATCCTCTTGCTGGGTTAGCATTTTCAGTAGCAAAGCAGTTACTGTGAAGAATTTATATCAATCAGGAATTTAAATGCAGTCAAGAGGCTTTCCCTCTGTGTGGAGGAAGGGAAGAGTATATATAAGTGATTGCTTACATGGCCGTGGGCTCTGGCCCAGTGCAGCTAGCACGCCTTCCTCACAAGCCTTATGAGGAAGACTTGAGAAACTTCTCCATGACATAGCACTAAGTATTTTTGCAGGGTATCTCACAAGTTAGGTTTGGAAGCATTTGCTTTAATGCCAGCAGATGTTATCATGGGCTTTATTTGGAAGATAATTTAGTGCTGCAGTATTGAATAATAAAATTTCCAAGGCTGTGGATAAAAGCTAAGTTTGGGAGAATGATAGAATAATTTCTCTACTATTTAAGTATGAAGGCTAGTTAGTAATCATGGGATTGTTTCTTCTCTGCATTTCTTTGGTACATTTATACTTACTTTCAGTTTGTTGATATTGGAACATGTGATTTATATCTTAATTCATGAATCACCTAAAAGTTGATATTTGAGATATTTGAAGGACAAAATTAGTCAAGAAAAAAAAAAGAGAAAATTAGTATTTTTAAGGTTTTATGTTATAAAGACCTTTACTTATTAATAGTACAGAGTTTCTTCATTTGTTGCTCGTTTCTTAACTCTTATAACGCTTACCCTCTTGGTTCTCTTATTTCTGTAACCCCAGCTTCTCAGCCTCCTTTTCTACTTCTACATATCCCTTAAATTCTCGTTACTCACTATGTATTCCCCTAGGTCTCAGGAGCTCCCATTACTTACATTTGCATTTGTATGCTCATGGTCTCCAAATTTATATCGTCAATCCAGATAATGTCTTTGGAATGTCAGACCTATGTATTCAGCTACAATCTGTTTGTCCTGTAAGCAGTAAGCTCTCATATTCTTCTTGAATCTGCCTATATTTATTTCCTGTTATAATGGTTAGTACCACAATTTGTCCGATTGCTAAAGCGAAACACTGTCATCCTTAACACTTCCTTCTTACTCACCTCCACAACCAGTCAGTCTTAAAGTCCCAGGAGTTCTACCTCCTCAGTATCCCTTGAAGACATCTCCTCCTTTTCATTCCCCCAGCTATACCCCTATTTCTGATCACCTGGATTATTATCTCTCAATTTGTCTCTGTTTTAGTTTTGAACCCTCCTCCTGTTCATTCTCCACATTGTACTTCAGATGTCATTTCTAAACCCAAAATGTGATCATGTTACTACCCTATGTAAAATTTTTCACTGATTATCATTATTCTTACAGTAAAGTCCAGTCTACTAATGTGTTTTACTTAGCCACGTATTCTTTGGTCCCGACTTGCCTTTCTAAACTTATATCTCACTGTTTCTAACTGGATTGTGTATGGGCCATGGCATCTATTACTTGTGACCCTTTATGCACACTGCTCACTCTGCCTCGAACACTTTTTCCCTCCCTACTCCTAACTTACTTGGGCTTTAGTTCTTATCTTACAAAATAGCCCTGTTCTCCTGTCTCAGCCAAATCTGGATTAGTTCTTTTTTGCTGTGAGCTCCCATAATACCTTGTACTTTCCCTTTCTTAGTATTTATTATCTTACAAATAATTGTGTATTTATTTGTCAAAATTGACTAAATATAAGTTTCTTGAGGGTAGGGGAATGTAGTCACAGTCTGTAAATTAGTCTGGCACATGTGTCTGGCACCTTGATGCTCATAAATATTTCCTTTCATATTAAATAAGACAGGGTAATATGAACTGGTCTTCTACACAACCATAAAATTCCATTGCATGATTTTTTTACATGCCACATATCTTTTTAAATGATTTAACTCTTTCTGCATGTTTTAGAGTAGTATATGAAGTAAAGATCTAGAACCTTTTTAAAGTTTGCATATTTTAAGTTCTAATGTTAATAAATATGCTAATTTCAGGATTATTTAATTATATCATCCTGTTTTAATACTTTCAATAGTAACCTATCATTGAAGTCCTTATTTTAATCTTATCGTCTTGAAATGGGTATCTTTTTTTTAAAGGGGCTACAAGCTAAAAAAATGTGGTTGCTATCGCTGATCTATACCTTCTTTAATCTCCCATTGGTAGTTATTCATACTGATGGATTTGGTATTTATATTTAGCCTTTAGAAAATTATACTCTGTCATAAAGGGAAATAATGGTAAATTGTTGGGCATTTTGTTGGTTACAGTCTACCCTGACATTTGCACTATCAGCCTTGTAGCCGTGAGTGATGTGAACAAACACGCTGATAGAATTGCATTTTGGGATAATGTCTATGGCTTCAACATGTCCTGCATGAAGAAAGCAGTTATTCCAGAAGCTGTTGTGGAAGTGTTAGATCCAAAGACTCTTATTTCAGACCCTTGTGGTATTAAGGTAGGTGTTTTACCAATTTAATTTTTTTATAATGGTATTGCCATTCTTCTTAGTTCAGTATTTGAAAGCAATATATTCATTTTATAGATGGGCCTTCAAAACAGTACTCTTCAAATTTTAATTAGTCTAAAACAACTTGTGGTCATAACAAAAGTATTTACCAGTTGACTGTATCATCCATTTAGAATTACTTCTGTACATATTGAAGTTCCTTTTACTCAGTTTTACAGTCCTTCAAATCTGAACTGGTTGAATCATTTACATTAATTTTGGCTTTATTACGGCAAAAAAATCCTTGTTGTACTGTCATTGCTGCTTCACCACCATGTCTTGGCCTTATTCTAGCATATCATTTATAGCCAGATTATTCACTCATATCGTGTATTCCACACAGTTTAACTTCTCTCATTCAGATTTCTTCCAGACTTTTCAGATTAAGTTATTACAGTGAATTTGCCCATGAAATTAAAGCCATACTATGTTCATATTTCTCAGTTAATTTCTTTTGTGTTTTATTATCTTATTTATTACCATGTTAATATCTGGTATTATTGTGAATTTTTGTACATTGAATTTACATGGGTTCACTAATAACTTGGCAGTGAAAAATAATATAGATTTTCTTAAAAATTCCTTCATTTGTCTCTTTCCAGATTAGGTAACCAAATAAATATAGTTTATTTAGCATTAGGTTCAGGATATTGTCTCCTTCACTGTTACTTTTATAGTATCAATAATTGTACTCTGCACAAAATATTCAGTAAATGTTTATTAATTTTCTTAAATGGATAAGGTATTAAAAATTAGCATAGAATAATAAACATGAAGTTTCTCGACAGGAGCAAGCTGATTAAAATTGTATTCAGCTTTTAAGGAAAAATAATGTAGCCTGATTGATGATTATAGGACTGTTCAGTGCTCTAGTACACTGATTATAAGGGATTTACTTGGGATATTTGGCGCAGGGTAGGAGTGTAGCCAACTCAGCCTTAAGGCTGAACAGAAAGAGGGCAGTTGGGGGTAAGTGCTAATTTCTCTCTCTCTAGTGTTTTCTTTGTTTAATACCGAAAACTGCTATGAATAAATAATTGAAATAGAAAATTTAGGATTGAAAAACAAAGTTTTTTAAAATGTATACATACCCTTTTTAAAAATTAATCATTTATTTGTTCAAGTAAATATAGTTTGTTCTGTGCTCCCCAGTCCTCCTACAAATAAAAGTTAACCAACCACATTGTAACTTTGTAAAATTTTCCTCAAACTATTTTAAATAGAGGAATGCCTCAGGTAAGTAGCTATATGAATTGTGTTCACTAGGTTATAATCCACTCCTGGCAGGTCACTGATGGCAGCATTTACAGCACACTTCTGGTCAGATTGCTGTAGATGAAATGCTATTCTGTCCTCTCTCCAAAGTGAAGTGGGGCAGGATTGAACCAGGGCAGAATGGGAAAATAAAGATATTTGGCTATTTTCTTCGTGAGTTAAATCCTCATAATAGTTTTGCTGTTTGGTTTGAATTGTGGTATTTTTTCCTAATATCTAACAAACTTATCCTTTAATACAGTTATAGAAATGAATTTTAAAACTTTTCCTATAAAAATATTGACTTATCAAACATAATTTATAGCAAATGTGGCAGGTATACTAAAGATGGTATGCAAAATGATTTTAGGTGGAACACAGAAAACTTTTATTTGAAAGTTATTTATTTTAGTGTGTCTTAGAAAAACTGTAGCACATTAAAGCCATGATTTGATGTATACTGTTGCTTACAAGAAGTCTAAGTAAAACATGCTAATTTGATTTAAAGAAAAATTAATAGTGCTAGTATCCCTTAAATTTGGAAATAATCCCCCAAACAGTGTGTCAGTGATTAAAATTTGCAGAACATTGGTTTACAATAATTCTTTTTTCATTAAAAAAAGAAAAGAAGTAATGTTAATCTGGGCTTTTTTTTTTTTTTTACTTTTTTTTACCAAACTGTACCTTCTGCTTCTTTTTAATGGGTAGCATATAGATTGCCATACAACATCTATCTCAGACTTGGAGTTTTCTTCAGATTTTACACTGAAAATCACAAAGACATCCATATGCACGGTAAGCTATTTATTCCACTTCACAAATTTCACTTGCAGTGCAGTTGATTTGCAGGCTAATGAATTAATTACCAGGCTTGTGATAAATGAAAAGCTCTATTACCTTTGACAGACTACTTTGCTTTTGGTAGGCCATTGAACAGATCTGGTTTAATAGGTCAGTAAACTTCAGAAAAGTTAGTTTAGCACAGTAGAGAAAGTGTTAGGAAACGGTGCTGACATAGTGATTTTTCTTTATAAATTCTTCATTGTTACCTACCATAATTAATCAAGAGTGCTCAATTTTATCTTTAAAGACAAAAGTTCTGATCTTACTCTTCCCAGTAACTCTTAACACTCAATTTAGTTGGAAATAAGATGTGTTTATTTGGCAGAATATTTCATATTCATGTACGAAAAATAATTAAGAACCCGATACTGAGTTATCTTTCTTTAAAGAATCAACCTCGTATAATAGAAAAGGAAGGTATGAGCTTTAGAAAAGTTAGGCAGATCTGGATTCACATTTGGTTCTGCTACTGACTTGTTTCTTCATTCAAGTTACCTAAGTAATCTATACCTCAGACTGTTCAGTTGCTTTAAGAAGAATAGGGATAATTCGTTCTATCTTGATGACTAATTACGTGGACTAATGAGGTAATATATATGAAGGCACATGCAATGTAGCCAGAAATGTTAGATTTCTTATTTAAATATATAAATTTTTTCCTCTCTTAAATAATTTCTAACTGTTTTGTTAATTTTAAGATAATATTTACCTTTACCAGGAGACTCAGAATATTAATGAAATGTGGGCCTTTACTTTAGAAAGTATGAATTTACATAGGGGTATTGACATAAATATTTGTATTATTTTGAAAATAATTATATGGTTTAATAATTATATTAAAAATAATTATATGAAATTGTTTCAGGGCTGGCCAGTTAGCTCAGTTGGTTAGAGTGCAGCCTTATGTTCATTTGTACACCATACCAGCCAGCTACCAAAACACTGTTTCAGTTCCTTTTGATCCAATAATTATTTTGTATCCAAATGAATTTAACAAACAATGTGTTTTGATGGTTAGAGGGATTCTTCTTTCAGTTGAAGTTGGCTTTACAATTTTTAAAAGTTAAGTATCTAGATTCCAGATTTGTGATTTTGAGGTACCCATTATATTTATTTACTTAATTAACAAAAAGCAGAATTTTATTCTTCCTATTCATTTCCCACAAATTTTCTATTTCTGCTTTTTAGTAATTGAAATGATTTGGCCAATTGAAATTACAGGCTAGAGGCTACTGCTAGACTTCCTCTTAGTTTTGATATTAGTAATCCCTGAGGGTTGAAAAAAGACCATATTGATTAATAAAAATTGATCAATTTATAAGGGAATTCTTAGAAATTATAGTCATATGAATATTATTAAATAATATTTCAAATTTATTTTCAGTGACTTTTATATAAATCAAAATAGAGCAGATATAAAACTCTCGTGAAGATGTCAAAAACTGTGTTTTTGCTTGTTCACATTTTTGAGCTATATACAGATAGATGAGCTTATTGATTTGCATTGAAATGTTCTTTATTTTCTGATTTATTGGTCAGGGTTCTTAGTTTCAGACAACAGAATCTAGATCACCTTGTTTGAACTGAAGCTGATTTATTAAAGGGAATAAGATAATTTCCAGACACATTAGGAGACCTAAAAGAACAGACTGTATTTTGAACTTCTAGAAACAACTCCTAGAACACCTTACAATTGGCCTGCTACAAAGCTGCCTCTGTTGTGAGGAAGATGGCTTCACCACTGCAGGCTCTGTTAACCCTAATGCTCCTGGCCCACTCAGTGTTAGCCACCACTGACAACCCCAGATAAATAAAACCCTTCACTACCATCCTGTTCCCTGCTCTCTGCTCCTCAACTCATGTTGACCAGTTTCTCCTTCCAAATCATCATTCAGCACATCTGCTTGGCTGAATGTAGGTCGTGTGGAACCCTAGCTATCAGTAAATTTTGGAAAATAGTTTTAGCTACAGTACTTTTATGCTATAGTAAGAGTTTCATATCACATATATCGAATTATTTTCTATTTCCTATTATTTGGGATAGAATGCAAGAAGCTTTGTGTTAAAAGAACTGTATCCTTCAGTGATCTTAGTTTTATTCCGTATACTTAAAAGAGTAAAATAAAAAGAAGCAAAACAAGAAAAAAACCGGGTATGTTTACTTAATCCAAAGATTATAATCAAAATTTTGCTATTGAAGAATAATGTAAGTATCAGACAGGTACTTGCAGCATTTGTTCCTTGCACAGTCCAAGAGTTCCATGAGAAAAATGAATTAGAAACAAACTGTTAACATTTTCTTACATCTATAAAGTACCTTTTAGATTTGCATTTTTATTCTCAACTTGCCTGAATGGCTTTTATGTAAAAGTTTTTTTAGAAATGAGGCAGGCTAGGGTTTGGAGGAAGGTGGCAGGAGGTTTATAATGTCTGCTCACTGCTGAATAACATAGTTCTATAACTCCAGGAGGAATGTGTTGTTACAAACCATATTCACTGGATGCATGCCAGGTTATACTGAATGTTAACTCTTGTGATATTCTGCCATATAATTAGTTGATATAAATTGTCTTCCTGTGATGGTAATATTTAATAGTCGTTGAACACATGAATGTCAGGTAATGTGCTGATCACATTAAAAGCATTATTTTTCATTCTCATAATAGCTATTTGAGGTGGATACTAATAATAGTCCCATATTACTGGTGAAGAAAAAAAATTCACTATAATGTTTTACTTGTGAAGTAAATGTCCTTACTCTTTCCTGATCCAAAAAACTGTAGTGGAATTGTACCAACTGTTAAAAGAACATAGAGAAACCTTATGAATAAGACACTCCAGGTATGGAAGGAAACAGGCCGCATGCTGTGTTTGAAACAAATCTGGAACATGTTACATATGAAAAAGATTTGAAAAATTTTCTTTTCAGCCAATAGTCTTGCAGTTGTTGGGAGGGAGAGGGAAAGAGAATGTGTATAATCAAAGTGCACTCTTCTTGAGACAGGAATAACAGATTTATACCATGAAATAAGTCACATATCTCATCTTCTTTGTGGTAGATAAAAAGTAGATCTTCGAAATTTTTTCTTCTTCACCCTCTCAGAGTAAGCTTGTAGTTGTTGTGTTAAGTATGTGTGTTTCTTGGAAACCTCCTTTTCTTCCCAGTATGCTTACTCTAACATGAGGCTGGCATGAATAAAATTTGGGAGCCTAATGCTTTTGTTAAGTTTTCATTATTTATGAGTCCCAACTATCCATCCATATCCACTCCAGTTCTCTTTTGCTCTTTGGAGTTAATGCCAACTCCTTACACTTTCCCCTACCAACTGTCTGGAGCTGTTATGCAATCATGGTCTCTAAGGCTACTTTTGAATGGATAGATTAGTTGCCCTGTTTATATGGGATAATCCATTATAAAGGTATTAAAAAGGATGAGTGCTTAATTATATCTTTGTTTCCCCTTTGTATAGTAAAGATATTGAAAAATAAAAAACCAATTCCTGCAAAGGGGATAGAGGAAGTAACTTTGGGGAGTAAGAGGAAGAAATTTGGCTTTATTAGACAGAGTGAAGTAAAAAGTACCTGGATTTGTACTACTAAGTACAGACCTTCAGATATATCAAATGCTTTTTTTCTTGTGCTTGAAACTCAAATGCATCGCTGCAAGTTAAGATGGTCAATTTCTGTGAATAGTAAACCCATTTTAAATATATGCATAACCATTTATTTCTTAATGAGATTCTAAATTTGTGGCCTAATTAAAAAATTAGAAGAAATTGGATTTTTCAAAGGAGCAAGATGCTAAGAGCACCCTCTTTGCATTTAATTTCAGTAGCATGTGTGCTATAGACTGATAGTGCTTGTAGTTAGCTTTCCCTGGGTTGTTAGAACTTTTCACAGAAAAAATCTTTTCTTTGCATTCTCCCCAATCACACACACATACCACAGAAGAAATTTGGTAATGTTTATAACTTAATGTTTACATTAACAAACTTTATGTTTTAGGAATTTAATATGGTGTGATATTTATATGTAAATATCTTCGGTCTTGGTTGCCTGTAATGGTTGAAGGATAATTTTCCAATGAATACTGGTGACACATACATAACAATTTTCTGAGCATTTTTAACTTTTTCATATGGTATTATTTACAGTTTAGGTCAATTGTTTTTTTTGCTTTTATGATGGAGTTTGAAGGTTTAGTTAGCAGCTAACATTCTATCTTTCATGTCAGCCTGCTTAACTTTGCAGTAAATGAACAATAAAATTCATTATTTTTATGGGAAGTTTGTAAGTGTTCAAAAGCAAAAGGTTTAAGGCTATAAAATTTAGAACTAATATGTTTTATCTTGTGAGTTCTAGTTTATTTTTAACGTCATTTGTTTAATAATGTTCTTTTACTCAGTGTGCCAGCAGCATTTATATTGGCATCTGTCTGTAAGCTACCTTACAGGTATAGAACAGCATTCTCTTTCATAATCCTAGGTATACATTAAATGACTTTTTATAATGCTTTTTATATAACAAATGAACTGTTTACCTTCAAATGAAAATATTTAAGATGGTTTTATCAGATTACATGCTCACACACATAAATAATACCTTTGACATGTAAAGCTTTTTGACATGTCATCTTTTAATCATTTTTATTTCTTAATTACAGCACAATATTTTCTCTTCATTCTACCTTTCTATTAGCATGTATCAGAATAGTAACTGGTACAGCAATTTTCAGTTTATATAAACTATTAATATATTTTTATACATTATTTAAATATTTTCATTTAAGAACATCTTAAAGTCCTTTATTTTGGATTTTTTCAAACTACATAAATTTGAGTAGTGACATATGAAAGGTATTTAATGTCTTTTTAACCATAACTTTAAAAATCTTTATTTTAATTAAAATATACATTAACAGATATTTCAGTTTATTAAGCAAATATTAAATG